CCAGTGCCCCAAGCTCTGCTCCGCCCTCCGCCCACCCTGCCCCCTCCCCCCGCGCCCGGAACCGCCCCCAACTCTACAAACCCCTCCTTACGGGGGGCGGGGGGCATGCACGGGGCTGAGAAGGCTGGACCACGTGCCGGCTCCCTACTCCCGCCTCCCCCACGTGCCGCCTTTAAAGCCGAGCTCCGCCGGGCACTGCTGACGTCGGATTAGGGCCTCTGGGGGTGGGGTCGCTCCCCGGGGGAAGGGGGTGCGCTAATACGCGCCTAGAACCGTGCTTCCTACCCTCCTCCCACTTCCTCCTCTCACAGGTCCCGGATAGCCAGGATATTACCTGGGAGATCTCAGTAGCAGCAAAGGGAGACGGACTGAGCCCTGGACACTATCCCGTTCTTCCCCCCAACCTGCTGCTCCTACGGCTGTCTAAAGAGCTTGGCGGTGGGAAAGGGTTGAGACCTGAGAGCGGGAATCCCAATTATGGTTCCATGAGTTGTGCCCTCAGGATTCCTTTGTCACATGTCTGCCCTGCTGACCCCGGAGCCGCAGGGTGAGTGAGGAGGGAGAGGGTTGTTCATGATGTTCCTGGCTGGGCCGGGAAGGGCACTGGGAGACACACCACTCTCAGTTCTGGGTGAATTTAGGGACAAAATTATGCACAACTGTGACCCCTCCTCCCTCTACTGCCCGCAGTCCCTCCATAGTCCCGGGTTAAAGGACTGTGGAATGTGTGGTCTCTTGGACGTCAGGTGAGCCCTTGGCCTCCTTGCCAGCTTGGAGCCCACTCCCAGCTACCTGCCTAGAGGAGGTGGAAGCCTTCAGAGAGATTCAGGTGAAGCCTGAAGGTAAATGAACATATCAAAGCATAGGGAGAGGGAAATCTACCTTTAATAAGGTGGGAGTGCCCCAAAAGCTATGGTGCAGGTAGGAGCTAGGCATCTAGAGGGAGAGGAGTAGAGGGCAGTTTGAAGGCACAACTGGCCAAGTCCTCTACCCCCCAGGCACTGTCTGCTTCCCAGTGAGAAGTGGGCATTTCTCCTGGGCTTTGTGGTGGGTCACGCATGCATGCTGGGGGAGAAGGGCTGCCTCCGCTGGACCTCCAGAGCCTTGGGGATACATGGTGCATGGCCCAGAGGAAGGCTGTCTATGGACAAAGGGTCCCGAAGGCTCTTGTGCAGCTCCTGCCTGCTGCCAGGGAAGGGAGATAAAGGTTACTTGGGCCTCTCCTTTCTAGCCTTTGAGGATAAGCCTTCCACGCTCATCTCCCCATACTCAGTGCACAACAGCCTCCACTGCGGTGGAACTTTCTGTGGTTCCCTTGGCCTACCACATCACGCCCATACTTTTCCCCCTGACATTCAGGTTGCTCCAGCTTTATTGTCTGCTGCACTTTTACATACATGCGTAAGCCTGTGATAGGTACCCTCTCCATGCCTCTGCCAATCTCACTTGGAAGGACATTCCCTCTCCTCTGCCTTTAATGCTCAGCACTCTTCACCCCTCCTCCAGGACCACGCCAGCCCACACTGATTCTTCTGGTCTTGAAATTCTACCAAGAAGGACTGGCAGTCCCATTTCTGAGGCCCACTGCATACCCCATACCTCTAAATGTTCCATTCATTCAGCAAACACCAAGCCAAATAGTTCTCTCCCCTGCTTTTTAATTTTCTTTGCTCAATTTCACAAACTGGTTCCACCTTTTGCTAATAGAGTATTGAACTTGCCACTTTTTCTCCAAAATACTATGTTTTTTTCATGCTTCCATGCCTTTTCTTTTGCTGTTCCCTCTGCATCGATGCCTTTATCTATCTTGTCACGCTGGAGAACTCTGAGCCACCCTAATGACCCATATCAAATGTCTCTTCCAGGTCAATTCCCTGATTTCCCCAAGCTGGGTCAACTGCTTTTCCCTGCACTGCTATAGCCCTTGAGCTTCCTGCTATCATGGCACTGACCACACAGAATTTGACGGTCGGTTATTTGCCAGTTTCTCAAACTAGAGAGTGACTTCTGTGAAGGCAGGGCCCAGATGGGGTCAGTGCTGAGCAGCTGGGTGGCCAGTCATGCCTATTGGAAAAATGGGTCTAGCCTGGGCTCTACTCCTTGCTAGCTGGTGGACAGGGCAGGTCCTCCCTGGGCCTCAGTGTCCCCCCTCTCAAATAGGAATGGCTACAGTCCTGCCCAGAACCAGAGATGCTAGGAAAGTGTAGGAAGTGCTGCTCATGGGAAGGCCCACCTGAAGTGCATGTAGCCGAAGAAGCCTACAGTCTGGATGATGAGGAAGAACAGAAAGATGCCAAACCGTAGGCATGAGGAGGCCCCTGGGGGCTGGCCTGGTGGACGGGGGGCCTTGGTTGACACTTTCTGAAAAGGAAGATTCTAAGGTTCCAAGCTCAACTTCTTAGCCAGCAGCAGGGAGAGGACCTGGAATCTGGGCCATGTGTGGGCTGTGTTTCCCTCCCCCAGGCTTGGGCTCCTGGCTCTCATCCGGGGAACTCAGAGTGGGGCAGACTATAAAGCTGCCTCCTCCCGCCCGGCTCTGATGGCTCCATCTGTGGGGACAGCTGGGAAGGCCTGGGGCCTGGGATCATCTGGGGGCCAAAGGCTCAAGAGATGAGAGAGAGGAGTAGAGAACAAAAGGCAGGATGAGAGTGAGGGCAAGGGAAAGAGCAAGATGGGGTAGGGGGAGAGGGAAGAGCTGGCATCACCACTGATTTCCCTTCTGGTCCTTGAGGGCATTGGACCAAGTGGTCTCCCAGGGTCCTGCTGACACTGAGAATCTGAACCTAGGACTCTCCAGAGAGCAGAGATGATCAAATCTGTGTCCCTGTGTGCATAAGCGTGTGCACACACAGACCCAGACACAGGTGTGCCTGCCAGGGGTCCCGGGAGGGGAGGACAAAGGGCGGGAGGTGCCTGGGGCTGCAGAAGTGCTAGAAAGAAGAATGACTGAGCCTGGACGTCAGAGATGGGGTCCCCATGCTACCCCCTACTCCCCTCTTACCGCCAGGCCCCGAAGGTCCTTCTGTAGGAGGCTCAGGATCTGGCCCAGCTCCAAGAAATGATGCTCAGTGCCCACAGGCAGGTAGAAGACCTGGGCTCCTGAGGCCATTCGGGCAGCTGTAGCCCTGGGGGCGGGGGGCAAGGAAGATGACTCATTACTCCTCTGGCTCTACCAGAATCACCTAACCATTTTCCACAATCCCCAAGGGAAGCACATGGGTGGGAATAGACCCCATCCATAGGGTTCCTTTTCAGGGACTAGTCTTTTCACCCTAAATCTTCTTGTTGAATCCTGGGACACCTTTAGCTCAGAGAAAGTTTTCCTTAAAGCTGCCTGTCTCAACCCCAGGCTCCCCTGGGCTCTGTTTCCATCCCCAGACCCTAGGGGACTTAGTTCCGCTCCCTCATCCCTTACGCCACCCGAGGCATCTAGATGTGTGTGTGGTGGGTGGGTGGGGGCAGGTTGGGCTCCAGCCACCAGCATCCAGCCTAAAGCCTCCTTCCCCCCTGGCATCAGGGGGACCCTCTGTTCCTAGGGCTCTGTGGATAGTTCCAGAGGTCTGGGCTAGAGTGGAATGCTGGGAGACTGGAAGGGAGCAAAAGAAAGTCCGGGGCTGCCTCCTGCAACTGGACATTATCTTGGTTTTCTTCCCTCCAAGAACCCTCATCAAAATGTCTCCTCCTTCCAGGAACTGTCAGTAAAGAAAGGCTCAGAGTTTCCACCCTCCCTAAGGTGGGTATGTCTGATGGGGGGCCTTCATAAGTGGCCCCTCCCAAGGAGACTTGCTTTTGAACTAAGACTTTCATAACCTTGAACTTGATTCAGTTAAATTCAGATTGACTCAACAAACCTAACTTTGCCCCCAGCCGCTCCCTTGGTGCTCAGGAAGTGATGAAGGAATAAAGGGCCAATGGGGAGGCAAGTTTCCCCTCCTCCAGAACCCCCTGTTTGCCCTGTGCCCTTACCTCATCTCTTGCAGGTCCCGGAGCAGAGTCCGCTGCCCATGGAGCAGGGTGCTGACCTTAGCAGAGTCCTGCAGGAGAGCCAGCCTCTTCTCTAGGGCCCAGGGCCCAGCCCTCTCTCCTTCCCCAGCAACACTACAGCCCTCTTAACAGGAAGCCTTACCAGAGTACCTGGGCCCTCCCCACCTTGGGCACAGTGAGTTTATCTGACCCACATGCATCTGGGCTTCCGGATTTCCCCTCTTTGCAAACCCCCTCAGGATGGCATTCCCCCACTACACACACACACACACACACACACACAATGTCCACTCCTGGACTTTCTCAAAACCCCTCCCCTTTCTAGAAGTGGCTTTGCCCGCTGAAGGAGGCAGAGGCCCAGCCCAGTCCTCTCCTTCCCACTTCTCCCCTTCTCCCAAGGCATGGCCCCCACTGGGAGCCAGTGTTTGTCAGCTCCCAGTGCTTGGGCCCCTGTCTTTCAGGGTGACCCAAAGGGGTGACTGCCTCTCTCTGGGTAGGATGGAATCTGGCAGGAGGGCAGCCAGGGCTTGGAGATAGGATCAGAGACCTGGCTTTGGAGTATGGCCCCCTCTTCCCTTCCCCACTCCAGCAGCCCAGCCTAAGCTGCTCCGGCCCAAGTACACAAGATTAAAACCTCGAGCTGTCAGAGCCCACGAGAGCCGCTGGCATGTGCCCCGCATCTAACACCTTGGCTGAGCTCAGCGCTCAGGCCTCCAGGCTGCGTGTGTCGTGGGGCATGACTCCCTGGAGGACTGGGGATGGCAGTGGAGATGAAATGAGGATTCTGGTCATCTGAGCATTAAGAAAGCCATATGCAAATCACATGTGAAGCTCCATGCAAATTAGCACCCAGTCTATTTCTGTCAGGAGCCCTGGTGGTGCAGTGGTTAAAGCGCTCAGCAGCTAACCAAAAGGACGGCGATTTGAGCCCATCAGCTGCTTCTCGGGAGAAAAATGTGGCAGTATGCTTGCATACAGATTACAGCCTTGGAAACTCTATGGGGCAGTTCTACGCTGTCCTATAGGGTCACTGTGAGTCGGAATCGACTCAGTATCAGTGGGTTTTGACTGTTTCTGTCCTTTGACTGGAGCCCTGGTGGTGCAGTGGTTAAGAGCTCAGCTGCTAACCAAAAGTTTGAATCCACAGATGAGTCGGGATACCTGGCGTCTCCTCTCTCCACCCCAGCTGCAGTGCTCTGTAGGCATTTGCTGTGCAGAGACGCCTCCTACCCACACCTCTGCCTGTCAGGTCCATCCCATCTTGGTACCGGCAGCCTTTTTCTCTAGTCCTCCTGTCCCTCCAGACCCTGGGGAGACTAGCTCCGGAGTGTCATGCTTGCTCTTCTTTCTGGAAGGAGGGCGACTGCTCGTGCCCTCAAACACAGTGCTGCCTCCCTAGGCCTATGGGGGGGTGCTTTGGATGCTCAAGGGGTCACTCACCCAGCCTCCCTCAGGTCTGGTCCCACCTGAGGACCCCGCCTGCTTCTTCCATTGCCTCTCAGCCTGGTCCAACTGCTCAGACAGGTCCTGGAGAGCCCGTAGGATCTGTCTGTGTCTACTCAACGTCTCCTCCAGGTCAAAGTGCTTTTCCCCTGCAGGTGTGGCGACAGTCAGCCTTCTCAGGTGGAGCAGCGGGTGTATCTTTGCGGGCTTCTTGGAGATGGGGACCAGAGAGGCATGGTTCCTGCCTCCAAGCCCCTCACCTGGACAGATGTGTCTGGGTGGTGGGATGGGAATAGGACGGACAACTGGGCTCCAGGTCCTGCTCAGATACGGCCCTCTCAGGCCTCCCCTCTGCATTGGTTAACAGATCCTAGTTTAAGGGAGGAGGATCCTGGCACACTGAAATGGGCATCCTCAGGTCCCTACCCGCTTCCTGGGCTTCAGAGTCTGGCCTCAAAATTACATCCTCCCTGGTGCCCAGCGCCAGCCTTGCCCGCAGCCCTTCCAGCTGCCTCACTAGGCGGAGCTGCTCCAACTCTAGGGAAGGCTTGGTGGGAGCCTAGAGGAAGAAGACAAAAACTCAGGCCAAAATCCATGGGAGATCTGGAGGCAAGGGGAGCCTTCTCTCTGGTCTCCCCATGAGTCCAGTCTTCCTCTCTGACCACACATTCACCCCAGCCAGGAAAGAGCTCTGATTCTCTCCCGCAGCTCAGCCACAGGCCCTGCAGCTTCCAGTTCTCTGATCCCCGCACCCTTCCCTGCCCACGGCAGTCCAGACCCCAGCACACTCCCTCAGGCTTCAGGCCTTTGTACGTGCTGTTCCTCTGCTCAGCTAGCTCCTGTTGCACCACCAGCTCAACTCCTCCAGGCAGCCTTCCCTGCTCCCCTGGCTGGGCTAGCACCCTCCTCTGTGCCCCCTCAGCCCCTTGCACCTTTCTACACCCAGCCCTGATCACTCTGGGCTGTAACGTGACAGCCTGTCTCCAGCCACCCGGAGAGGTCCTTGAGGACAGGGCCTGGCTCTGGGACACACAGCTCTGTCCCCCAGCACTGCCTAGCACAAGGCCTGGCCTGAGCAGAGCTCAGAGAATGGGTGGGGATAACGGATGCACTGGCAGGTCTGAGAGCACCCTGGCCTGAGCAGGCAGGGTTGAGGAGAAGGATGGAAGTGTCCCGGGGCTGCCTCTCTCCCAGGCCTCCTTCAGGAGCAGGCCCAGGGCTGGCATCACCTCTAGTCCTGGCTCCCTCAGACTGAAGGTCAGGAAGGACAGGACATCATGGTCATCTGGAGTGGGGGACAGAGAAGGGGACGTAAGACTCCTTACCCTAGTAGCCCAATCACGCAGCCCTTACCCCAGACCCCTTCATAGCTCAGGGACATGAGAGATGGGGTTAACCTCAGGCAGCTTCTTAAGCCTTGTCTTGCTGATTTTTCAGGGAAGGTGCAAGGGGTCAGACAAGCAGATGGGTGGCCTGTGAGGGTTGACCCCTACACACAGCCAGAGGTGGGCCCCCACTGAGTGGGAAAACTGGACAATCACTTAACATCCTAGGCTAAAGCCATGGCAGCAGATCCAGCGACACCCTCACCCCTAGAGCACAGCTGCTTCTGGCAGAAGCAACCACACGACAGCCACCTTCCCGGCATGACTCTGACCATGTCACTCTCCTCAGAAGCTTTCCATGGCTCGCCATTGCCCAGTCTAAAGACCGAAGTCCTGGCATTCAAGGGCTGCCACCCTCTGGTTGCAGCCTGCTTTCCAACAGTGGGCCTCCACGGGCTCTCCATTGGATCACATCCCTCTGATCCATTTCCCTAAATGTCCTTCTTCCAACTGCCCCCCAGCTGCCGACTAGGGACACTTACGCGGCCAGCACTGGCATAAAAGCTTCTAGTGTTTTATTTCATTTGAAACTTTCAACAACCCTGCAAATAAGATGTGACCTTTCCACCAATGGTAACAGAGTCCCAGAGAGGGTTTGTGACTTGCCGGGGTCACACGGTGAGGAGTGGCTGAGTCCACACCCAGTGCTCCTTAGAAAGTGTGCTTAGGGTGGTTCATGAGGCACCGCCCCTCTGCTCTTACCTGCCCTGCAGGGCCCTCACCTGCCAGGGTGCTTGTGGCTGCGGAGATGCCAAAGAAACCTCCAGGGGCCAAAAGCAGGGGCCCCACATCAACACAGACCTCATCTGGATCACTGGGAGTGAGGCCGCTGTTCAAGGATACCTGAGGGCTTGGAGAGAGTGAGCCCCTCAGAGATACAGTGCCCTCCTCTCCCCTGACCCCAGCATGGGGGATAGTCCCCACTTCTGACTCCCCGCTCCCCTGGCCCTGAAGGAGAGCAGGCACCACAGAACCTGGTATCCGAGTGGCATGGAGGGGCCCGCACACCTGGCCCCATGTCAGCCCTCTAAGGTATGTGCTATGGGTGAGTGTGAGGATTCCATGTATGAGTAGAGGATCCCATGGCGGTGTTGACCCATATGTGGTGTAGGAACTCACGTGTGTGCCAGGGGCCCCGTGTGGCTTCACAGGCACATGTCTACTGAGGTCATAGGCACACACACACCATAACTCTGTCCCTCGGAGACCTTGTAATCTGCCCTTCCCGCTGGGAGGAGCCACAGAGGTAGGAGGGGTGACTCACACGCAGCCTCTGCCCCCAGTAGGTGATCCGTGCTCTGAAGGGGTATGGCCGGTTCCGGAAGTTTCGGTGGCAGGAGCCCAGTAACTGTCTGGCTCCATCCCTGTGGATACTCAGAATCCAACCGGGCCACACAGGGCCCAAGGCCTGGCTAGCAGGGGTGGTCCCAGAGGCCACTCTGCCCAGACCTGCAATGCCACTCTCTTCTCCACTGGGTGACCTCGTATAGAACATGCCTACCGTTGTCTTGCTTGAGTCTCCCCTGCTGTAGTCTGTTCCCTTAGCAGAAGAGAGAACAGGAAAGCAAGCCCTGCTTGTTACAGTGGTAGGACTTGGAGTTTATCGGAGAAGGGGGCAGGAGCCTCCTTCTGGCCCTTTCCTAGGGCAACAGAGGCCTGGATCAATGGTAGTGGGGTCTTCTCCCTCAATTCCCCTGGGCCCACCACCTCATCCCACTGTCCCTTCCCTTCAACTCCAAGTCCCCCTGCGTCTTTGGGTGGGTCTTTTCTTTCCTCTCCCTTCTGCTAAGGGCTGAGACTGCAACAGGACACCTGCAGGCCAGACAACATGGGGCAGGGCCAAGGACAGCGTGGCCAGCCCACCTCCCCACCGGGTCGGTGCAGCAGGCTCTGGGGAGCTGGTGGAAGAGTGTTGGGCTGAGAGGTCCTGAGGTCTGCAGGGCCCACAGGACACACCAGACCACCTGTCACTGCTGCCTCAGCCAAGAGGGAGGCCGCTCAGAGCCGAGGAAAAGCCAGCTCCAGAGCAGCCACCTGGGTTTGCAGTCCTAGCTGTGCGACCTTGGGCAGGTACCTCAGCTGCTCAAACCCCAGCTTCCCCGTCTTTAAAATGAGAATAACAATCACAACTACCTCATAACATTGTTATGAGGGTTAAATTAAGACAATTAAGCGTGAAGTGCTCGCTGTGCCTGGCACACCTCAGCTCAGCTCCATGAATGTTAGCAATTACACTAATTGTTACGAGCTGAGGGATGTTTGCTGAGAGACACTGACAAACTGGCTCAGGTACTGAGGATGGGAAGCCACGTCATCTGGGAGAAAGGGAAGAAGCCGCAGGCAGGTGGCAGGGCAAGGGCACGGCCCCTCCACAGGCAAGTCTGGGCCCAAGTCTCAGCTCTGCACACAGCTGTGTGAACTCGGGCAAGTCACTTCACCTCTCTGGGCCTCAGTGTCCTCACCTGTAAATGGGCACTAATAGTCCCCACTTATCAAGGGTGTTGAGGATGAGATGAGCTAATGGGACTGAAAATATACAGCCTTGGTCATTTCACTCCCTCAACTGACCTGGGGCTGCTGGGCTGAATGAATTGAGGACTCAGTGGGGCGATTCCAGTGTAGAGCAAGTAAACTCAGGTCCTGGGGGCCCAGAGGCTCAGCTGAGACCAAATTGGGGAGGACCTGGAGTAGGGGAGCATTAGCTCAGAGCAGGAGAGGTGGCAAGGACCGTGGCCTTAGGAGGCCTGAGCTCCCCCTCTGGGCCTGGGGCAGGGGCACAAGTAGGGTGGTCAGGTAACTGCTGAACCCCTCCTAGCCCAGGAGTCGGGGTAGGGGTCAGTCCACACAGGTCTTACCCAAGCAGCTCATAGGGGGTGTGCCCATCACTGGCCAGCACACGGATGGCAGGGCTGTTCTGTGTGGGAGGTGACAGCAGCCTGAGCCGTGGGCATGGGAGGAGGGAGGAAGGCATGGGTGGGTGGGCAGAAGACCACTACTCACCTGGGTATCCTCAGCTGAGGAGTCGAAGAGGATCCCAATGCCGTCCCACGAAGCCAGCCCCTCCAGGACAGGGCCTACTTGGCCCCTGCCCCGAGTGTACCAGATGGCCTGCAGGTCCCCAGCCCGGCAGCTCAGGGTCCCTGCAGGACCTTGGGACCCCAGGACCTGCCTGGGTAGGATTCACCACCCGCCCCCCGATTCACCCCCTCTGCTAGGCCTTGATGGGGGCCACTCACCATGCCCTGGGCTCCCCGGCGCCCCGGCCCAGTCACCCTCATCTGCACCTCCACTTCCCAGGCAGAGAAGGGGACAGAATCCCTGCTCCACACAGCGCCACTCCGGTTCTGCATGGATGGGGCCAGCCGCACTTCCTCCAGGCCTGGGATGGCATCTGTGGACCATGGCAGCTCAGGACCCGGGCCCCCGCACACCCCTGGGCCCCCATTATCCTCTCTCAGTGGCCTGGGCTGGGTTTCAGGAGGAGAAACAAGTAACACTAAGGCCTGCCATCAGATCACAGGCCAGCTGGTCAGATGCAGGGGTCCACTGGAGAAATGGGAATGGGAGCCCAGCACAGCTGAGGGGCCTTTGCCAGGGGAGGGCAAGGAGGTGCCACCCCATGCTGAGCACTTGACCTGCAAGCTCACTTAATCCTCACCACATGTCTGTGAGGTCTGTTTTTATGAGACCGTATTTTACAGATGAGGAAACTCAGCTCAGACAAGTTAAGGAACTAAGTGGATTGGCACTCAGCTCCATCTGACTCCAAAGTGCCAGCTTTTTCCACCACATGAGAGACTGATGTGTAACTCTCTCCATTTCTCAGATGAGGACACAGAGGCCCTGTGAGTGAGAAGGACTTGCCTGAGACCACAGAACACAAGTGAACCCTTTATCAGAGAATAGCCAGGTGGTGGCGCAGGACTCCAGGCTGTGGAAGCTTAGAGGGATACTTCAGTGAGGCCAGAAGAGGCTGGGGCTACCTGGGGGAGGGGACCTAGGAGACGTTCCAAGGTGAGGAAAGCGTGAAAGCAAAGGTGCAGAGGGGGGAACCAGCCCCCAGGACTAGGAGGAAAGGGTGAAGGATGGGACATGCTGTGTGAGAAGTATCACTGACGGGGTGGGGATAGGAAGGAAGAAACTCTCTGTGGTAGGACAGAGGAAAGGAGAGAGAAACTGAGGTAGGCTTGCCAAGGACAGGGCAAGGGAGATCAGAGGCCCCACCCCAGCTGGCTCCCCACCCCTCCAACCTGCCAGCTTGGAACTTGGCCCAGAGCCCAGGACGCTGCCAGGAGTTTCCGGAGGCTGCTAATCCAGCCTATTTGCTCTACAAAGAGCAGTGTAGGGGGAGGGAGGCTCAGAGCTGCGAGAAAGAAGTCCTGGGACCTCTGGAAGCCACCACTGCCTCTGACGTGACTTGCAGGAGGAAAGGAGTATCTACGCCTACCACACTTCTGCATTCAGCCTAGATGGGGATTGTTTGTGGGATCTCCCCTGACTGTGGGCTCCTCGAGTCTAACTCAGCCCTGTGTCCTGGGGCCCAGACAGGGCTGAGCACAGAGCTGCATTAGGGGATGGGAGTTGGAAAAAAGAATGAATGAATGAATACACAGTGAGCATATCACTGAGTAGCTTTGGAGAATGTGCCTCGCTCCTGCGTGTGGTGTTTGATGCTCTGGACTTGGCAAGGCCCAGAGCAGCAAGTGGCGAGGCCTGGCTTGGCACGGTGAGAAAGAGCCTGGCCTGGTCCTTTGTTTACCTTTTGTGCCTCTTGTGAAGGACTGGGAGAAAGACCCTGCTGACAGGGCCTATCATATTTAAGGGGCCTCTCGTGGTATTTTTTTCTGGTTTCAGTCAGGAATCATGCTATTCGTCTGTGTCTTGTAGACACAGAAATACATAACTCATCTGCTTTCTCTCTTTGTTTTGCCTGCTAGGAGGCTCTGACCCAAATTCATGGCCCAACTCTGGCAGGTGGGCAGACCTCACAGCATATGTTTTGACAATAAGCCACTTTCCTGGACTCATTTCATGCGCCCTAAGCCTCATTCTTCTCACTCCTATGTTATGCTCCTCTCTATTTTCTAGGTCTTATAAGTCACAAAGGAGCCCTGGTGGGGCAGTGGTTAAAGTACTTGACTGCTAATCAAAAGGTCGGTGGTTTGAAACGACCAGCAGCTCCATGGGAGAAAGCTGTGGTAGTCTCCTTCTGTAGAGATATATAGCTTTGGAAACCCTATGGGGTCGCCATGAGTTGGAATCAACTCAATGGCCGTAAGTTTTTTTTTTTTTTTCGATAAGTCACAAAATCAGGTAGAAGACTGACTGTGGGTCTGGTTTGTAAGGTCTGGAAAAAAGACCTGTGGGCTAAAATGCTTTCATGCCTGCTTCCAGCCCCAGCACACATACAGGGAAGGTCGGGTGCCCTCTCTGGCTAAACAGCTGGACGTGAGGATGCCTCCTTCCTGGCGGTCCCAGTTCTCTTGCACAGCCACAGGCCCAACAGGATGGAGCCAGGAGAGTGGGGGTATCTGTTGTTCTAGGTTGGTTTGTTTTGTGTGTGTGGGCCTGAGCATGAGCGTGTGTTTGTGTGTGTGTGTGTTTGTGTGTTCACAGGTCCAAGAAGCAGAGGAAGGGGCAGGGGATCCAAGACAAGATAAAAGGAGAGAGAAGTTCTTGGGTAGAGAAGGAGAGAGGCAGAGAGGAGAAACTGAGGCTGGTGGGTGAGGGTGGAGCTGTGGTGGTAGAGTGGGAGCCAAGCTTAGGAGGGGTCCTGGTCCATCTGGGTGCTGGGGCCCCCAGCACTGCCTGTCTCAGGGCCGGGCCCCACCCTGCGCACAGGCCAGCACTGGCAGGCCCTCTCCCCACTAAGTCACAGCCATCCAGAGCTGGTCAGTCCCTCCAGCCCTCCGAGGGACCCTGGGCAGCATGGCTGTCCCCACCCCTGCCCCTCACCTCCGTGATGGCTCCAGAAGGGTATTCCAGCCCCAGGCGAAGCCAGCTTTGGTCCTTTGAAGCTGAGCTTGTACTCAAACCTGCGCTGAGGAAGACGGCCCCCCTCAGGGCTGTGGGGGACCAAAAGCAGGAGAAGGCAGAGCAAACGATCTGGACCCCCGGGCCCCAGCATTGTGAAGGGATCTGATCTCCAGGGTAGATCTGTAGCTGGGAGGCCAGGGAGGGGCTCCTGGGACCTAGCCAGGCTGGGAGGAACAGGGGCTGGGCCAGGAGCTGAGTTTTGGCACTGTCCCCTCCCTCCACCTCCCCCCAGCACACATATCCTATTGTTCCTTCCAGACCAGACCTCAGGCCCCACTGGCCCCACCTCCAGCCTGATGTAGGCTGTGTAGCAATCGTCACCCTCCCTCACTCGCCAACCTGAGCTCGGCCCCTGCTTCTGGGCTCAGGCCATCTTTCCGCTTTGTCTCCAGCAGCTGTGGGGGTCCCTGGGATGCACAGGGACAGACCCTATCCTTCAGAACCCTGGCCTCTCTTCCCTGCTGGTGGACTGGCCTCTCATCCTCCCTCCTTCTCCAAAGATGGATGTTCCAACTGTGTGGCCATCATCCACTCCCCATCCCTCCCTCTCCTTCTCTCAGCCTCTCCTCCCTGGCCCTCCTCTCCAGCTCTGGTGCTCACCTCTCTCCCATATTCCCATTCATCCCTCCAAGCAACCTGGTTTCTTTAACAATAAATTACATTAAAAAAAAAAAAAAAAGGGAGTCTTAACACACGGAACAAATAAATGGACCTTGTTTGAAGCCTAATTTTAACCAACCACTGGCCACTTCCCCCCCACCCCCCACCCAAAAAAAAAAGGTTGTGAGACAATAGGGGAAATTAGAGCAATTGATATTAAGGAACTATTGTTAAAAATTTGGAGTCCCTAGTGGTACAAACTGTTAAAAAGCTTGGCTGAAAATTTAGAGATTCGTTGAGTCCACCTCAAGATGCCTCGAAAGAAAGCCCTAGTGATCTGCTATTGAAAACCCTATGGAGCACAGTTTCTACTTGGACACACATGGGGTCGCCATGAGTTGAAGTCAACTTGACAGCAGTAGCTTTCGTTAAAAATTTTAAGAGTAATCATGTTATTACAGATGTATTTAAAAAGTCTTTTGTCTTCTGGAGAAATATACTAAGGATTTATGGATGAACTGATATAATATCTGCAATTTGCCTCAAAATCTTCCAGTGGTTGGGGGAGTAGGTGGGGTATTGGCCTTGAGTTGACAGCTGTTGAAGTTGGATGGTGGGTACATGGGCATTTATTATACTGTTCTCTCTACTTTTATATGTTTGATAATTTTCATATTAAAAAGTTTTTCAGAGATAAGGCATCTTATATTTCAAGTGTTTTCATCCAAATGAAGGTTGGTTTTTCAGAGTGACTCATTCAAGAATTTTGGATAGCTGAAGTTTACTTCATAAATTCTCAGGAGGATTCAGTTAATGGATTAAAATGAGGTTGTTAAGTGAAAAAATTCATTTCTCAACAATAAGTCCTCAACAGCCTCCACCTGCTCTCCCCCTCACCTTCACAGCCGAGCTTGTGGAAAGCGCGGTCTCACTCTGTCCTGGTTTCCTCACCGGTCACTCCTGTTTCCACCACCCCGGGAAAACTGCTCCAACAAGGCCACTGATGATCCCTGTTCTCTGGACCCAGTGGACACTTCTCAACCTAGTTTCTGCAACATGAACCACTCCCCACATCCCCCTCACCCTCTCCGGCCAGCCGGCCGTGTCCTTGAAACCTCCTGTTTCCTGAGCTCTGAGACCCATCCCCCCCAATGCTCATCTGCTTCTCCTCCAACCCCAGCTGCTCCTCTAGCTGCTCCTTTGCCAGTTGCTCTCCCTCCACTGCCTCTTACATTGCGGTTTCTCAGGGCTCGCTTCTCCCCTCACTCTCCACATGCTCTGTGACCAAGCTTGCCCATGCTCATGGCGTCAAGCACCATTAATGTGCCCATGATTCCTGTCTAACTCTCCAGAGGCCATCTCTGCTTGAGTGTCACAAAGGCCCCCAGACTCAAAACATTGAAACCGAGCTCTTCTTCTCTAACCAACTCCCACTGATCCTCCTCCAGGGCTCTGGTCTCACGGATGGCACCACCCACCTTATGATGCCAAAGGTTGGAATTCCCCCCAGGCCCCTTCCTGGGCCTGGTCCCCCACATCCAACCACTAGCAAGCTCTTAAATTTGCTCTTGAGGCTCTCATACTGTTATCTGGTTTCTTAATCTCTCTGAACCTTTTTCCTTATCTGTAAGATGGGGATGATAAGAGTTTGTTTGAAGATTCCATGAGATAATATGTGTAAAGTGCTTAGAACTGGGCCAGGCAGACAGTGAGTGCTCAGAAAAACCTGTGCTCATCTTCCGCTCTACCCCAGATGCTTCCCCAGTCCAGGCCACCATCAAACACCTCTTGCCTACAGCCTCCTCACCGTCTCCCTGCCTCCACTCTTGAACCCAGTCCAGATCAGAGGGAGCCAAAACCTTTCTAAAACACAGATCTGACCATGTCACTCCCCTGTCCTAACCTTTCAATTGCTTCTGATCATCTTCACATAAAGTTAACACTTTGTATAAAGTCAGCAGGGCTTACAAAGCCAGGTGGGGTCTGGGCCTGGTTTTCTCTACAGCCTTACTTATTCCCAAACCACACCCCTTGGCATCTTTGCCCCAGCCACACTTAAGCCCCAGTAATTCCCTGCCCTAGCAGGCTGTCACACCTCATCACCTTTGCTCAGGCCACGCCCTTCCTTGGCCAGGAACGCCCTCGCACTGTCCCTGCCCTCCACCTGGTGCCTAAGAAGTCACCCTGGCCCTCCTGCACCTCTGCCTCACTGGCTCGGGGCTGGCCGGCAGGTGACACCCTGCCAGATTTCTGGACTGTAAGTAGTCTTGAGTGGGTTCCCCTATCAGTCTGTTAGCTCCTCGAGGGTGGGAACTGTCTTGCTCATCAGTGTGTGGTCAGCAGCCAGCACAGGAGACAGAAGGGAAAGATGAGAGAGAAAGGGATGGTGGCAGTAGTGAGAGGTCTCACGCCATCAGGTGGGAAGAATTGGAGCATCAGCTCCCTGGGCCTGCACTCCTGTCGGGCCTTGTCAGCTGGACCCTGCCCCTTCACTCCCCTTTGTCTTACACCTGGTCCAATTCTGTCATGTTACCTGCCTGGCCCCTTTCGTGACCCCATGGCTATGGGCACTATTGCAGGTTTCTGAGCCACGGGTGACAAGGTTCCACAGTGTGGTGGGCCTGCTTGGACCAGCGGAGCCGATTAAACCCCTGCCAGCCTCTGGACTCAGTGTCGCCAGGTTGGTAGCTTGAAATCGACCAAGACGAGACTATGTACAGCACTAAGATGAGCACCAAGTGTCCGTGACTCCTGCAGGCACGATATAAATCAGAGCACCCCCCACCCCGCCCTAGATTTGGCCGTTCAGCGTTTGCCAGTGCACCACTGCCGGACCCTCTCCTTCTCTGCCGTTTGGCCAGGATGGTCCCCCTCCCCTCTCAGGCCTATTCCTCAGTGTTCTGGATTCTAGAAAGCTCTTCAGTCTACCATCTACCATCTACCACTGTCTCCCCTTCCCTCTGTCTCTCTCTCCTCTCTCCCTCTCAGTACTCAGACAGGATCTGAAGACACACATTCTTCCCCTCAGCAGTCACATTGGCTCAAGCCTTTGCCTTCTTACAAAAAAATCTCCACACGCTCCTCTAACTTGCATCCTGTCTCTCTGCTTTACAGCTAAATTTCTGAAAATTGTCGACCCTCCCGCATTGCTCACATCTTCCCCTCGCCGTGGTCCTCTGGATTCTGCTCTGCCAAACACAGGTCTCGCTGAAATCACCAGTGACCTCCTGTGGCTAAATCCAGCGGGAGACTCTCTCCACCTCCCACGTCTTCTCGAAGCATTGGACCCTGGTGAGTCCTGTCTCGAGAAACTCTTTCTCCTCGGCCTCTGTGACACCAGCTCTTGGTTTCTTCCTACTCTCGGGCTGCTCCCAGTCGACCTGCCTAGCCAACCTCCTCTTCTTGACCTTTGAATGCCGTGAGGTCCTCCACGCTTGGTCCTGGGCCCTTTGCTCTTCTCCATGTCCTCCCAACGTGACTTGTCCTGGCCCATGGCTTCACTTCAATTCATACACTGATAGCTCTCAAACTGTTCTCTAGACTCTGGGTCCCAACAACTTACTCAACATCTCTTAGCAGTTTCAAAGGCAAACTTAAAACTTGACATTCCCTTAACAGATCTCATGGTGTCCCCTCGCTCAGTAGGCAACCCCTGCCACCAGCCTCCCCAGCCCTCCTGCTAAGTCAGACATCACTGTGGCTCTTCTCTCTTCTTCATACCAAGTCCATTGCCAATTTTACCTCCAAATCTCTCTGGATTCCATCTACTTCCCACCATTATCTCCCACCTGGACAAGTCTTTCCTGGCCAGTCCACATCCACTGTGCTCCCTTCAAACCTTCTCCATCAGTACAGGGAGATCATTTTAAAAATACACACCTAACCACGTCACCCTTCTGCTTAAAACTCACCACTGGCTCCCCATGGCTCTGGTTTGCCACAGCCTTACCTCTCAGCCTGCACTTTGTGAACATCCTCACTGGTCTCCTCTGGGGCCCTGGAGCAAGCCGCCATCCCTCTAGTCTCAGTACCTCTTCCTAGAATGCTGCTACCCCATTACTTCCTGTTCATCCTTCTGACGTCAGTTTAAATGCTGCTTCTTCCAGGAAGCCTTCTCTTATCTAAAGATCAGATTCCCACAGTGTTTCTTTCATAGTATTCATCAGTTTATAATTGTGTGTGTGGTTATTTGATTGATGTCTGTCTTCCCAACTGGGAACGCCACAAGGGTCTGTCTTGCTCACTGCTAAACTCCAATGTTAGCATACAGTTGGTATTCACATAGGGATGGAATGGTCTGGTTTCAGAATTAGTCTGGCTGTGTGCAGAGAGGGTGGGCTGCAGGAGGCAAGGCGGCTGCTGCACAGGGCTGGGAGGGAGAGAATGGTGGCTGGATGGGCAGTAGGGTGAGGAAGAGCAGACACAGGCAACCTTCCAAGTTCGGACTCTGGAGTTCAGGTGCAACTGTCCGCGAGACGAACGGCAGAGCATTGGCTGGACAAGGGGACCCCCACCTGCCTGTTTAATGAGCAAACTACCCATTGCCAGAGGTTCTGAGAACCTGCTGAGAGAACCTCAGAAGCAAGGGGGGGAAATCCCATGGCTGGTCCTCATTCCCCATCTGTGCCCTCCAAGGTGGGGTGGGGGAAGGTGCCTGGGTACAGGACCTCAATCTCCCCTGCTCTACCCCTCTGTATCATCAGACCCTGCAAAGTCCAGTAAGGAACAGGCTTGGCACGTGGCAGGCATGAGGATGGGGGCAAGCTATTACGTCTTAGGTGGAGTGTAAGAACCACCAGAAGCTCAGAGCCCCCCCTTTCCTATCACCCTCCAGGGTCAGCAACTCCTCTGGGACACGAGGTGTTTGTCTCCCACTGGGGGGCCCCACCCAGCCCCCAGGCCCACCACTGTCCTCCCTCACTCTTGAACGGGGGCTTGCTTAGGGCCCATCCCCACCCAGTCCGGCCTGGGCCTCCTCCTCACTCCCTGGCTCCAGCCCTCCTTGAACTTAAAGCTTGACCAGCACAGTGAGAGAGGCAGCTGGAACCCCCAGGCAGCATCCTGTGGACTGGGCCCCAGAGCCTGAGCTGGCCCAAGGGCCAGGCCTGTACAGCAGCAGGACAATGGGGGAGAGGACAGGCTCACCCAAGGGCAGACACAGGACACTCACTCGTGCAGCTGACACAAAGCGGCGGCTACATCTCCTGGCCGTGCTCCCCACCCCGCCCCACGAACAGGGCAAGCACAGCCCCACTCACAGAGACAGGAGGATGAACAAGATGGCACAGTGGGGGCGGGCAGGGAGGGGACTGGGCAGGACAGAGGCTTGGCGGAGGAAGCGCCAAGGCTGGGCAGCGGTGTCCTCACGGAGCGGTTTATTACGATTCCATCTCACAAGGCAGGTGAGCGGCGGCAGCGGTACATGAAATCTAAGCCCCTGACAGACGTCTGCCTCGGGCGCATGCAAACAGTGCAACATGGTCAAGCGCAAACACGGGCGACCGAGGCGACATGGGACACTCAACATGGGATGGGGAACAAGGGTGGGGTGTGGGTCCCTAGAGAGGGGCCCTGCGCCCCCACCCTCACGGGCAGGACAGGAAAAATAAGATTCGTACTTCTTGTAAAATGCCCATTTGCTGGGTACTTTCTTTCTCCTTATCTTGAAAAATAATAAAAAATAAACACACAGAAAAAAATCTCAAAAAAGGAAAGGAATAAAACTCTGAGAAGGTGGGAGATGGTCGGCCAGGGGAGACCCGGCTGTGGCGAGAGCGTCTGCCTCCCGCTCCTCAGCCTCCTGCCTTCTCGGCCTCTTTATGGTGGGTCCATGAGAAGGCGTCTGGCCTAGGTGGGGTCCCTGGGGGGCCGGAAGGGGCACAGACTGGAGCAGAGGAAAGAGGCCCCCGGCCTGCTGGGGCTCAGTTCAGTTTTGGGCCCAGTGAGCAGGGGCACCAGGCCCACAGTCTCTCCAGGTCCAGTCCCCACAGGCCCATAGCCTGGGCAGAGGCGGATGGTCACAGGTGCAGCTCGTGGGTTTTGATGTGTTCAAGCTGCTCACGGAGCTGCAGGAAGGAGGGCCGCGTGGCGGCATCCAGGTGCCAGCAGTTCTTCATGACCTCGTAGACAGCGGGTGGACAGCCGTCAGGGGCGTCCATCTTGTAGCCCTTCTCCACCCGAGGAACGACGTCCTTCAGGGGCTGTGGGCAAGGGTAATGTGAGCCCATGCAGGGCCTGATCCTGGAGGGGACCCCTACCCACCATTCCTTCTTTGGGGAGCCCCTCTCTGCTGTCTCAGACCCAGGTTCAGGAAATGGCCTGGAAGCTCCCGAGGGCACAGCCCTGCCAAACCCGCCCCTGCTCCAAGGCCTCGGTCCCAGCCCTGCCCCTGACTCTAGCTAGCCCCACACTCACAATTCTTGGATAAGGCACTCGCCCAAAGGAGTAGATTTCCCAGAGAAGGATTCCAAAACTCCACACGTCAGACTTGGTGGAGAATTTCTGCCATGTGGAGCAGGAGAAGCAGTATTAGATTCTGGGACTCTGGGGCTGCGAGGTGACCCAGGACCCACTCCCCACTGCTCAGGCTCTGGGGAGAGGCCTGCCCACCTTCTCTCTCAGGGCCTCGGGGGCTGTCCACTTGACCGGCAGCTTGCCCGTATCTTGGGTGCTGGAGGCCTCCTTGGTGAGGCCGAAGTCGCTGACTTTGGCCACGTTGTCCTCGGACACCAGCACGTTACGCGCAGCCAGATCCCGATGCACGAAGTTGTTGCCCTCTAGGTATTCCATGGCCTCACAGACGTCTCTGGGGGCAGGTCAGCCATATGTTCCCTCAGACTGGTGCTCCCGTAGCTGGGAGGGGTCCCTTCTCCCTCCCCCAGGGGCTGCTTCACTCACAGTGAGAACTTGAGGAGACAGTCTCCGCCCAGCACCGACCGTCCCCGCGACCGCAGATAGTCCACCAGGCTCCCCTGGAGCAGGACAGACAGACCAACGGCCCCACAGGTCAGCCTTGCCCTCCAGCCCTCAGGAATGGTGAGGCTGGGTGTGTGGTGACACCCAAGGGAGGTGGGCGTAAAGGGAAGGAGCCGGCAGGGGGTTTCAGGACATCACTGAGTATTAGATTCTATGTGCTGGACGCTATGTTCAGTATTCTCCATGCATTATCTCATTTAATTCTAACAGATCTTAGAAGTAGGCACTGTTATCATCTCCATTTCACAGATGAGGAAACTGAGGCTTGGAGAGGTGAAGTGATGTGCCCAGGGTCAGAGTCAATAAATGATGAGCTAGGACAAAAGCCCAGCCCTGGGTGACTTCAAAGCTCAGTCGGAGGGAGGGGACTGAGGGACAGGGGCCCAGGGGCACGGTGGGGAGTCTTGGGGCAGTTGGAAAGACCATGCCTCATGGTTTAACTCCAGGATGGGGCTGGATGGCGGGGAAGGTGCCCACCTTGGCCATGTACTCAGTGACGATGTAGAGCCCGCCCTTCTCCTCCACGATCACGCCCAGAAGCTGTACCAGGTTGCTGTGCCGGAGTTGCCTGGGGTGGGATGGGGGTGGGCAAAGCCTGTTAACCTTCCCATCAACCCCTGCTTTGGTGACACCCCACCCACCTCTTGCCCCAACTCACGTCATGACCGAGGCTTCAGCCAGGAAGGCCTGGGCAGTGGCGTCATTCTTAATGCACTTGACAGCTACTTTGTTCCCTCGGTAATCGCCCAGCATCACGTCTGTGGGGAGACAAGGTCAGGGCTGTTCCCTGGACCCCCTACGGCAGCCGCGCGGCCCCCCGGGTCCCCCCCGCCCCCCGCTCACCTCCGAACTCCCCCTTCCCGATGGTCTGCAGCAGCTTCAGATCTTTCAGGCTCAGCGCCCAGCCGCCTACAGGGGGGGTTCAGGGAGGGGTGTTGGGGCCGGGGTGGGGATCACAGCTAGGGTGACAGACGCAGACCCTCATCATGTGTGTGGGGATCCTTGAAGGTCACCAGAGCTGCAGGATGGGGTATAGTATTAGGCAGCCTGGGTGGGAGGAGTTAGCGGGCAATCATGGACTAGGGCGGGTGTGGCACTCACTTCGGAAGAACTCATCCTGGGCCGCCACGGTGCCCTCCATGACCTTTGGTTTGATGAGTCGAGTGCAGAGCCCATCTGCGTCTGAGGTGTAGTGCTGGGGAGGGGAGGGCAGTGCAGTCAGAAGCAGCCCCCCACTCTGCTTCTACCACCCAGCTGGCTCACATGCACCACGCAGGTCTGACCACCAGAGGGCAGCAGAGGTTGGTCCTGCCCAGCCTGGAGTTGCTTGGGAAAGGAGGGAGGAGGACAGGACTGCCCATTTCCGGCAGAGCAAGGGTTAGGGAGGCCCCAGACTCTGACACGTAGTCCATTTCCGATGGCATCCCACACCCAGGTGCTAGACAGATACTCATTTGTCGCTACTACTCCGGGCCTCACCAGTGTCCTGAGGCAGCCCTGTACCCAGTCACATCCAGGGCCCTCCCAGACCAAGTCAGGCCAGCAGGACCAGAGAGTGAGTAAGGGAGGCATCTGCGAGGCCTGCCTGCTGCAGCGACCAGATGCCAGGTGTGGCCTGCGCCAGTAGAGCCGGCCTTGGAAGCTGAGTGGGGTGTGCTCACCTGTGAGCACATCCACAGGGGCGCAGGACCCCAGGGGGGCCCTGGGCATCCAGGTGCACAGCTCCCGAGGACATGCTTATATACACACATCTCTGGACATGTAGTTCTGTGCGCAGCTGGAGGGAGCTAGTTCTGGGATCAAACAGACTCGGAGTCTAGTCCCGGCACCCACTTTGTAGCTGTGTGACCTCAGGCAAGTCCCTAACTGCTCTGAGCCTGGTCTGCAAAATAGGGCTAGGGTCACCCTCTTTGTGGGCGGCAGCACTGTGGGGTGACACCAATCCTGGCACACAGCAGGTGCTCAGTTGACATATGAGGAAAGCAGGGCTCAAAGAGGTCCCACAACATGCCCAAGGTCGCCCAGCCAGAGTGGTGGAC